ATTTTAAACCTCATTATCAATGTCTCGATCAATTGTATTTAAAGAATTTTATAATTATGATTGAAGATCTTTTAATTATTTTTTCATTTTATCAATTTCAATTAATAATTAGGTTTTACTAGATGTAAATGTTTTAATTTAAGTTGTAACTTATAATAATTCTTTTGATTATTCTTCAAATTACTTTTAGGAGTAATTCAATTTAGTTAAATTTTGAATAATACAGCAAAAGTTTGAATGTAAAATATTGAGACATTTCACAATTTAAATTAATAATCCTTATTTAGAAATAAATTAATCTTTTGGCTGATGAATTATATTTAACAAAATCTAATCAAAAGATAAAACTAAATTGATTAAGGGTGATTATAATTGAACTTCCATTAAAAATTACTTTTTATCTTCCAAAACACCTTAATACTTACCAACTTGAATCAAATTTTCTGATTCTTTCAATAATAGTTATTAAAGTTTAATTATATGTTCAAAAGGTATGGCAATCTTAATTATATCAACATCAAATAATTAACGCAACTTTAACCATTACTATTAACCTAATTAATCTAGTAATTTATGCACTGAATCATTTAATTACTACTTTTCTTTAAGTTTTAATAAGAATGAAGCATAATTCTATTGTTTTTCTTAGATTGCTTGTGCTTTTGATTCAAGTTCTCTTTAATCATTCTCATTAACATTAAGAGTCTATGATATAAACAAAAAAAATTACTTATTTTATTTGATTTATCTTTAATTAAAGAGATTATATAGTTTTTTTCATTTATGTTTATTGATGTAAACTATTATTGGGATGAGCATATAAGGCATTTGATATTTCTTCAGATTCAATAGCCAAATAATATTATTATAAATTAGTTGATTCTTAATCAGCTTTTAACATGTTTAATTAATTTTGATAGGTAAAGGTATTCTCTTCATTATTTGACTATTTCAATTATTTTGGGTTTCTTATTTAAATTGTTTAAATCAATTCATCTATTTATAAATACATTTATTAAATAATAGTTGAAGTTGCATCAAATTATGAGGTATTTGTTTCTAAGTTCATTACTTTCTATTAAAATTTAGCAGTTGAAATGGCATTTTTTGTAGATTAGAACATTATATATAGAAATTTAAATTCCTAAATAATTCTGTTAAATATAAAATATAATAAGAAATTATTGTTAGTAGTTTAGTGAGTACTATATAGACAAAAAATAATTGTGAGTTATAGATATGGTTTTTATATGATAAATATTAATTGAGATATATAATAAAATGCATTATCCAATAAGAAGGTTTTATGTATATACCATAAATGCATTTCAGAAAAAATCATCTAAATTAAATTATTAAGGTTGATTTAGTAGTTCGTCTTCATCAAAAATCATAAGTTAGACCAATCTACGATTAAGACAATCATCTTCTTTGTATTGATAGGAATCTTCATTTAGTGTAGATGTAATTAATTATGTTGTTTGTTAAAGTTTGAGACTTTTCTTCTAAACCATTGGTGATAATGGATTAAATTTTTAATGATGAGATCTACAATTATATTATTTTTACCTACACTAACTAGGTGATCGAGTTCCAATGATATCACTCATAGGTTTAAATATTTTATTATTTTTCTTAATATTTGCATGATCTTCAAGGAATTTTAAATATTTTTAATGTTCTTCTTGAGTCCAATGACCAGAATTCTTTTTAGGAGAAAGTGATTCACATTTCTTAATCTTTTTGGATTTTGGAGATTTAGGATAGGAATACTCAACTGAATCATCTATTTCTAATTAATCATTTGAAGAAAGAGACATTATATATATATATATTAATGAAACAAAATTATTTTAGAATTTGCTTTATTGTATTTTATAAATTATTAATTTCTTAAATGTGTTAATGAATAAAATTAATAATAAAATAATAAATGAGATCAATATCCCCAAATGCATATCAATCAAACAAAGATTCATTTTCATCTCAACCTTAATAATAATAATAATAGAAAGCAATATTGAAACCAGTTGTATATGAAGCAGTTCATGTACCTGTAAATGAATAGATTGTTCATGCAAATAATTTTAGAATAAATATGTCACCTACTCATGTTGCACCACCTTCAGGTTAAACTGTTTATAGAACTATATAATCACCAAATCATCCAATTCCTCAATAAATAATTTAACAAATTTAAAATATCTAAACTTTTCCTTAATAAAAAGATTTAAAATTATAAACATCTGTTGCTGAATTTTAAGTTCCATAATCTTAATCTTAAGAAACAAATTCTATAAAAAGTGATGATCGAATTTATAGAGAATTTGAAGATAGAATTAGAGTTATTAGAAATGAGAGTGATTCATGGAAATAAAAGTTTATTATTAGTGAAAATGATAAGGTTAAATAATTATAAGATATGGAAAATCATTATAAAATGGAAATGCATAATTAATCATAATAATTAAAATAATTTTATTAAGTTACAATGAATGAATTAAATGATGAACTTAAACATTTATAAAGGGAATTAGATAATTCAAATAAAGAAACTGAAAAAGCTAGAAAGAAATGTCATTAATTAGAAATGGATTAATTTGAATTAAAAACATAAATTGTTGATTCTAATGCTTAAAAAGATTAAGCATAAAAAGAATTAGTAAGAATGACTAATTTATATCAAAGAATAAAAATTGATATGGATGAAATGAGAACATAATAAGAGATTATGAAAAAAAGAATTATAAATGAATAAGAATTAGAAAAACTTAAAGAAATTATTAATTAAAGAGAAAATGAAATAGATGATTTAAAAATGAGAAATTCATAATTAGAAATATTAGGTATAGATGTAAGAAAGTTAGATACTTAAAATCATGAACTTTAAAATTAATTAGAAATATTATAATCATAAATATCTATATATGAAACTAAAATTATAGAATAAAGAAATGAAATTGATAATTTAAATTCTATTAATAAAAGAATTAATAATCAATTATAAGAAAAAAAGAATCATGATAAATTATCTAAAACTATATATGAATAAGAAATGTTAAATTAGTTAAATTAAGCTTAAGTTTTATCATAAGAAAAAGATAATTAAATTAAATCATTAAATATTTAGTTATCTTAATCATAATTAAAATATGATTAATTACAATAATAAATAATATCAATTAGAGAGAATTATGAATAAGAATTAACAGAAGCAAGAATGAAATAAGGAAAATTTGAATAAGAATTTTAAGATGATATTACATAAAAGTTTTAATTAATGTCAAGAGAAATTTAACAACTTTAATAAGAAAGATAATAATTATTAAATGATTTATCTTAATAATCATAATAAAAGGTATTTTATTAAATAATAAATTAAGATTCGATTAGATTAGAAATTGTAATAGTAATAAAAAGAAATTGATAATTTTAATTATTAATCTTAATTAAGAAATAAAGAATTAGTAGATAATTAAGAAACTATTAATTAAATGTCAAAATAAGTAACAAATTTATCAAAAGAGAAATAAAATTTATAAGAATAAATTCATGTAAATATATTGTATATTTAAAATTAAGAAATTGCATTATTAGTATTAAGACTTTAATAAAGTTAACTATTATTATGAAAAAGTTCTTTGTAGTATTGAAATGGAAGCATTAAGAGAAAGATTAGATAATGCACTATCTGAATTAGAAACAATTAAAGCTAATTAACTATCTATGTATAAATTTTCATGATCACTAATCAAGAAGATAATTATTTATAAATTAACTATATAATTGTTTATATAATTTATTAAAATAAATCAATTGATTTTTGAGTGAAGTTTCTAAGATTATATTAAATTCTTCTTCTCAGTTTAATCATTTTCTTATTTTTCAATCTACTTATCATTTTTACTTTACTCATCTAAAGCTTTAATTTTAAGTTTTGTTTATTCCAATTAAATTTATTCTTATACACCTTATAACTTTTTTCTAGTATAAAGATAAAGTTTTCTCTTTATTTCTGGTTCAACTTATGCTTCATAAAAATCTCCTGGTTTCAAACCCATAAGTTTATAAGGACCATAACTTTATCTTATTAATCTATTTACTCTCAAATCAAATTTCTACATTACTTTTCTAATTTCTCTATTTTTACCTTATTCTAATCTCATAATCAACCAAGTATTTCTTGACTATCTAAATATATATCATTAATTTTACCTATTCTCAACATTAATCCAATATGGTCCATAATTTACACCAGCTATTGTTACACCATTTCTTATCTTTTTCAATTTCTCCTCTGTAAAAGTACCATAAACTCTTACTCTATATGTACGTTATAATTTTGTTTCTGGTAATTCCATACATCTAGCAAGCTCTCCATCATTAGTTACAACTATTAATCCTTCTGAATTAAAATCTAATCTTCCCACAGAAATAATATGCTAGTCAGTTTTTAATCTAATTTTTGCAAAATCATAAAATGATGGTCTCTTAAATGGATCATTGTGAGAACATATCATACCAATTGGTTTATAAAAAATCCATACTTTCTTTTATAATAAATTCTGGTTACTGTTGATTGTTTTATAGGCATTCTTTCTCCATTCTTTGTAAATACTTGTATTTTATTTTCAGAAGTAACTGGTATATTACTTTCTACTTTCTTTCCATCAACTAATATCATTCCAGATTAAATCATTTTTTCTGCTTCTCTTCTTGAGCATACACTTGTTTAAGCCAAGTATTTACTTAATCTCATTGGTTCAGATTGTGTTAAATTTTATTTTACTAGATTTTGCTTCACTACTTAGGAAGTTTTACTAATGAGTTGTGAAAATGCAGCAAAAAATTTATTTATAATCATTAATATTATTTTATTATATTTAATAATTATTCTTAAAATAATATATATATATAGATTAAAAAAAAAGATAATTATATCCATTATTTAATAATAATCTATATATATGTATATATATAAAATACAAAAATTATATTAATCAATTAATCTTTTTTTTAATTAAATTTTTAGTTGTTTCTGGATTTAAATTAAATAAAAAAGGTTGCTTATAATTGGAGTGTTTATTAGAATGAAAAGATAAAGATAATCTTTTGGATACATTTTAAGTTTCTTTTTCAATCTCTTTCTCAGATTCTTTTTCTTATGAATGTTATTTAATATAAGAAAATTTTTAATTTAACACTTAACTTTTCAATTTTGGATTATGATACATTTCTGGTTCTGAAGTAAAATTCATTGAAATTTATTTTCCTTATTCACCTTAATACAATGGATTTTTTTTCTATATTTATGTTTAATACTCATTTTCTATATATTGAATATGTTGATGTCTAATTTAACTGGGTAATCCTTCTAAAATAAATACATGCATTAAAGCATCTATTGGTTTGATTCTTTTTTTTGGATTCCAAACTAAGCATTTAGATAAAAAATCAACAAACAAATTATCATTACATCTTAAAATACTATTCAAATTCTTGCTTCCAGGTATTCTTACCTTTCCTCTTTTATTTTAATAAATTAATGGTTTATAAGGATGGTAATCTTTAAAAAACAATTTCCTTCTTTCAGCATTCTTATCAATAATAATCAATTTTATACTTAAAGCATTTCTTAATCAGGAGGACCTAATAATTCTAGAATGAAACTAATTTATTCTTATTCATTCTCTCCAGGAAATAAAGGGAATCCTAAATATAATTCAGCTAATATGCATCCAAAACTCCACATATCAATGCTTTTACTATATGGAATTCCTAGTATAACTTCTGGGGCTCTGTAATATCTTGATTATATATAGGTATAAATCTTTTGATCTTCAAAACAACTACTTCCAAAATCTATTATTTTAATTCCACTTTTATTAGCATTTTTAAGTAATATATTTTCTGGTTTTAAATCACAATGAATTATATTGTGTTTATAAAGAAAACTTAATGAATTAAGTATTTAAATAGCAAATCTTCTTATCAATTCCAATTGTAATCCTGAAAAGTTGTTTAATTTTATAAGGTCATATAAATTCATTGATAGTAATTCAAAATTCAAACACTTAAAATTAGCATTAGAATTTTACCACATGATTTCTAAATACAAAATAGTCTTTAATCTTGATGATATTTGTCAGGTTTTCAGGATCTTTATCTTTAATATATGTAAGAATTTAAATTTCTATTAAGGATTAATTATAAAACTTTTTTTTGTTTCTAATTATCTTTAAACAAGAAATAACATTTTTCTAATGATCAAATACTTTAAGTGCTTAACCAAAACTTCCCTTTCCTATAATTTCTAACACTTCAAATCTATATGCAATATGATCATTTAAATTTATTATATATTCCCCTTTTTCATTATCAAATCCTTCATTGAATTACGTCATCTAATTATTTTATTTTTTAGCTGAATATCCTATATAATAAATCTAAATTAAAGTAAATCATTTTTTATTACATCTTTATATGTTAAAATTTCTTATTTTTCAAATTATGTTAGGTAGTTACCAAACTCTATTAAACATTCATTATTTTTTAATGGAACTTTAATTTTTGACCAATCTAAAGGTTTTGAATTTTTAGGTGAACCTGATTCATCTAATATGTAGGAATACACTTTCTAATAATTAAGAAAATAAGTTTATACCTATAATGAATGCTGATCTCTAGAGGTTGCCTTTTTTCTTTTACCATATATTGAATAAAATGATGGGTATTGGATACATTTTAATACTTTAGATTCTTGTACTCTTTCAATAGAATCATTCTTTTAAAAATCATTAAGATCAGTTTGGATTTCTTTTGATTTTGTCTCTAATTTTAACTAATAATTTTATGTATGAAAATGCTATTTTTGAGAAGTTTACAATTTAGAATCCTAGATTATTTCCATATCTTTTTAGATTTCAATAGATGAACCTGATTTGTCTGTCAAATTAGATTTTGGTTAAGTGAGTTTTTTAGAAATTTATGAAATCTGAGTAGAAAAATTATTAGATGGAGTAATTTTATATGAAACCTAATTATATATATAGAATACTAACTCGATTATATGGTCTTCTTCTGGGAGACGAACTTTCATGAATAGAGAATTCAGGCTAAAACATACTTTTTTAATTTTCTCTATTCTTAGTTGTTTGGGGAAACCCATATTGATTTGAGTCAAAAGAATAATTCTATGATATTAATGAGATATACAATAATTTTTTTGTCTTATTGATATAATCTAGGTCTCATGGTTGTTAAAAATAATTAATATTATTATATATTTATTTATTTTTGATCATCTGAAAACTTCGTTCAAATATTTCTTCTCATCAAATAATTTTTGAATTGATAATTCTGGAATCTCCACTTCTTCCCATTTACCTTCTCTATCAAATAGGTAAAATTCATTTTGCTAATTGTTATAATAAATCATATCATAGTCAACTCGAATAGTGTGCTCAAATAAATTAAATCTACAACTTTAATTGTAATCACCAAATGTAACAGGTATAATATTTTAAGGAACAACCTAAAATAATAATTAAATAAAACATATTTAGTATAAATTCCTGAATGTGCTAAACATTTCAATTACAATAGATTAGTTTCTTTTGAATATTACATTCCAACAACAAAATGTTTACCATGATCAAACAAATATCTTTCAAGAAAGATTGGAACAAGTTGAAAATATTCTTTGAAAGGTACATAAGATTATTAAAAATTATTTAATTTCTAATCTAATAATATGTATATAATATATATACCTGATATTGATGTCTTATATAAAGGAATCAATGTATTTTAATTGATTGAAGAAATATTGACTTTGTTAATGAAATGATATCTGAATAAGGATTTCATTATTTAATATTAATAATATATAAATATTTATTATATTTTATCAATATTTTATATTGATCTGGAAATGTAATCTATTTATTTATTCTTTTAAGTGTTCTTCCAAAGATCCACATTCTCCATTTAATATTTCTGAATATATATCTATAGCTTATTATAGTAATCCAAGTTTTTCATTTGTTTCTGCCAATTAAATCTCAAATTGATTAATTTCTTCTGATAACATATCTTAAATCTTAGCCCAATTTATTGCCTTTTATAATAATTCTTTTGCAGTTAAATATTCTTCAATATTATAAAATTCTTTGCTTAAACGAACCATCAAATTTACTTAACCAGTCTAATTAAATATTTTGTATTTAATACATCTGTCTTATTCATTTCTTTCAAAGCTGAATTAGCATCTCTGAATCTTTTACCATCTTTTAAACAATTTAATGCAATATATCCCCAAACTGTATCATTAGTAGGTTCATAAAGATTAGCCATTCTTAAAGCATCTTCTGCCTCCTTATACTTACCACATTCATGAGAAGATATACCCAATCCCATCCAAGACAATGATGAATTCTCTTTAATTTAACAAGCCTTTGTGAATACTGCTCTAGCATTACCAAATTATTTTTCATTTATATAAATTGAACCTAACATCAAATACATACTAAAATAAGTAATCTAATCTTCTCTTAATTATGGATTTGGTAAAACAAATTTAATCTATTTCTCACATTTATCAAAAGATTAACTTTTAAACAATATTTTTATATATTCAATACGTATTTCTAAATTTTCAGGATTAAATTCTTTAAATATATTATATGATAATACCTAACATATTTTCAATTAAATCTAAGCATTGAGAATATTCAGATTTATATAAAAATATCTTTGCTCTTAACATAGCAATTTTACTATGAGATTAATCATTTAATAGACTTAATGATTATTCAGCTTATTCAAATAGACAAGCATTCTCAAAGAATTCTACTAATTATAAAATCATTTAATCTTATTATTATTCAGTCAATTATGGTTAATTATGAGCATTCTCCCAAGCAATTCTTTATTATTCTCTTTATTCTAAAATAGCCTTATCTTTTTCAGGTTTATCTGGAACTGGAATAGGAATCTTTATCCAAGGAATATCAAATAATTAAGGATCATCATGATGCATTCCTTCTTATTTAATTAGATTCAGTTGTCTAAGCCATATTCTTTCAGCTTTTTGCATCATGAAATCAGCTAATTCTTAATCTGATTATTATATAATAAGATTGTAAAATAGATGATAAATTAAATTATTTGGATCTTAATCTAATAATAATTCTAATATAAATTTAGCTTCTGAAATCTTTTCTCTTTTTTAATACAAACCAGCTAATAATAATTAATTTTATTAATTATGACCATCAAAAGATAAAGCTTATTCTACAAGTGTTACTGCTTATTCTATTTTTGCACATCTAAGACAGAAGAATGCAAATTTCATTAATGCATCTTGATCTTTTGCATTTATTAAATTTAAATCTCTTAAATGTTTTTCTACTTCTTCAGTTCTATTTAAAATTTCATATTCTTAACATAATCTCTCAAGTTATTGTTTTCTAGTTTCATTTGTTTTTTCTATTATAATTTCTTAAAATCCAACATCTTAAATAGTTTTTTTCTTTGATAATAAATGAGAAAAATCCTCTTATAATGCTTCTTTATTCTCTCTTACCATATTAATTAAAACTTATCTCATTTCTTCCATTAAAAAAACATATAATTCTGAATAAAATTAATCAGATTAATCTGTTGAAATACCTGTTACTGAACCAAATTTACCAAACTTATCTCTGCATAACTTAACTATACTCTTTTTTATTCTTTCCTTTAAAATTTTATATTTTCCAGATATATTAAAATCATATAAAAAGTGTTCTTTTCTTTATTAAAGTGATTATTTCTTATGAGTCATTAACATATTACTTTATTTTTCATTTTGATATTTGTTTAAATCTTTCGAAAACATATTTGAATATTCCATTGCTAATGATTCAATTATGACTTATAAATCACTTCTCAACTCCTCAATACATTATTAACTTAAAGGTATTGGTTAAGGTTCAGGAGCTAAAGGAATTAAATCTTAAAATGTTGGTTATGGCATATATCTAATAGGAGTTATTGGTTGAGATAAATTGATTTTTAAATACATATACATAGTTTCTATATTAGGTTTTGGTGTTTCAGGAGGAGATTATTCATCCATATATTATGTAAACTTTATTCTTTAAATAGTTTCAATCTATCCTGAAGTTTAAAATGGTATATAATCTATCCAAGCTTTAAATACAATTATATTCAAATCATTGATATTTAAAGTTTTAGGTTTTGCTTTTTTGAGTTTTGCTACTTCTTCATCACCTGGAATTGGAGATTTATATAAAAATATCCATTCTCCTTTATCAACTCTTACTCTTTCTTATTATATCACTAATTTTTATCCTGTTAATTCTTAAGAAAATTAATTTTGATCAAACTTTATGCTTGGACTTTTGAATTGATCCTCTTGGGTCTTATAAAATTATTATTCTTCTGTCAAAGCATCCCATTCAGCCTTAAGTCTCTATTATTCTTCTAATTCCATTTATTCTTTAAGAAGCTTTTCTTTTTCCTCTTCTGGTGTTAATTTAGGAGGCTAAGTATAATAATTCATATTACTTCTATTTTAGCATCTTTTTTTGGTTGTTTTTTTGCTTTCTTTGCTGCCTCTGCTTCTTCAATTTCTCTCTTCTCTTTTTCAGTTAATTCTCTAGGTAATATTTTCCCACCTGACAATCTTTAATCAAGAAATGCAACTGAATATTAAAATAAATTAGGATTTGCTTCATCAGTTACTCTCCATTCCTCAGGAAATGAAAATATACCATTTATAACAAAATTCATCTTGATATTTGTTTTTCTTGCTGGCATTCTTTCAAGAAGTTTTAAGTCATTCATAATTATTATTATAAATAAACAAAATTTTTAAATAAACAAAAATATTTTCATACAAATATTCTTCTTCATTACATTCAAAGTTATGAACACATTAGAATTTTATCATACTTAATCAGTTATTATTTTATAAGAAAATAAAGTTCATTTTTAATTAATAAGGGAATAATAAATATAATGATTATATTAATTATAACTCTATTAACATTGTAATAAAAACAATTAAAAATATTCATTAAATTAAAATTAAATATGATTAAGATATATTAATAATCTTACATTGTTATTATTTTTTAAAAAGAAATAGTAAATAAATTTTGAAAAGATCATATATTTTATAAATATGATATTATAATAAATATAATAAATTTTTAATATATATAATATTCAGTAAGTTTATAAGATTTTCTCATTAAATAAACATAATTTATATCAATAGCTAGCATATATTATACATTATGTTAAATTACAATTGAATTTAAATTATTAATCTTAACATAATCAAAAGCCTTAAATATAAAATACTCATTTTAGAAGGAAAGAAATTATTTAGATATTGATGTACATTTTTCAAAAATAATTTTGCTTTATTAAAAATTTAATTATTGATTGTATATGATATTAATAAATAAATATTATAAAATTAAATAATAAAGAGTAGTTATCATTTATTTATTCCCATTCATCTACCTTCTAGTTTTTTCATACTAGAACTAAACACAAATTTAGCTTTAATAGGAGAGATGAACTTTGGAGCAAAAACAGGTACACTTAATTAAGGATCTTCTTATACAATAGTTCTTTAACTCATAGAATAGGTTCTTTGGAAACTATTATTCATAGAAGATGGTTATCCAGAAATCTATGATTCATTCTCTTCGAAAATGATTGATTGTTATTATGATAATTGATTATTTTCTTATTATTAAACTTATTCTTTTTAATAATCTTAATTTTTTAAACTTTATCTTCTCTTCCATTCTTCATAATACGTATTAACTTTCTTCTAAGTTTTTTCTACAATGACTGATTAGGATTATTTTGAGTCATGTTATTTTTTTTTTTCAAAATCATAAGATATTTATTAAAATTTATTAGTATCTTCAAACATAATGATATTTTAATCATTAGATTATGTGAGATAAGCAGGAAGGATATTAGAATTCTTAGATTCTTCCTATTTTTATAATTCCTATCGTTGTTATCTTTCAAGCCATGCTAAGTAATAAGGATTAGTTGATTTCTTACGAGGAGAGACTAAGATTTCACTTTATGTTTTTCGATCATCATTTTTTTAATCTCTTAATTTTTCAACTTCTGCTTATTATCTTTTTAATTCTTCAATTTCAGATTATTTCCACTATTTAATTAGTTTCTATTATTTTTATTTTTGTATCATCAGTATTTCTTATTATGTTGGTATGAGTAAAAATTAAGATTTAACACTGCTTGTCATAGATTGATTTAATTTACTCATAGATTGATTTAGACTATCTTCTTATTTTTATACTTTAGGTTTAACAGATTATGATTTTTATTGAGGTTTTTTATCAGAATCATTTTTTTATGGTGTATTTTTTTGAGATTTATTTGTCATAATAGACGACATTACATTTGTTGATTTTGAGCCTAACATAGTTTATTATTATTAAGATTATTATTAAATAGGTTTGTTCTCTATTATTCCACATTTATACCGCTCTAATGTATACAATGCTTATTAACTATGTTTATGTATTGCTGGATTGAAAAATATCTATAATCTAAACATAATATTATACATTTTCTAAATCTCTACCTTTATATGTATTTAAAGGACCTCTTCCTCCAGGATGTTTATCTATGAAATCTGTCAAATCATAAACTGAGTTATGATAAACATAGAGTAATCTTTTTTCAAACTGTTATACTTATCAATATTACCTATTTGATTTTGATTACTCAATCTAAAAGGCAGCGAAGGATGGGTAACTTTTATAACTTTTATTCATAATAATAAAAATTTATGATCATAAATCTTGATAATGAACATGTAATTTGTACATATTAGAATGAAATAAAAATTAAGTTATTATGACTTTATTTTAACTTAATTCAAATAAGATATTATCAAAAAAATAATAAAATATAATCAAACCTTTTTTAATCTGAAAATTAAAAGTGAAAAGAGTAAATAAATAAATTGAATGTCAAACTAAATTGTAACTAAACTTATTTCAGAAAATCATAAATAATTGTATAAATAATACATAATTATTTTTCATTACTTTCTTAGAATTAGAATCATTTTTTATTTGAAAAAGTAAAAGGAATGATTAATTAATTAATTCATTATCACAAGATGTATTATTATAAATTGATGCAATCTTTTAATATATATATAATACACATTCATTCATTAATGAAAATAAATAGAAATCTTAAAATATAGAATATCAATAAAGATTAAATATATATTCTTATGTAGATGATGATTACAATTTTCATATTAAATTTAATAGTGTGTATGTAAATATATAAAAATTATTTGCGTAATACCTATTATATTATTAAATTACGCTAATTCAAATACCGATATGATGTGGAAATGTGAAATTTAAATTTTTATTTTTTTATGAATCCAATCAGACCAATAAGAGTTTAAGAGGCTTACCGATTTTCTTAATTGGGTGTTAGTCAAACCAATTTCAAATTTGGCTAAATTTTCTTTGAATCAGATAAATATATTACAATAAGAGAAACAGCCCCTAATGGAGACACTCAATTATTACAATTCAATTTTGAGACTAAGCAATTGATTTCTCGTAAACCAAACAAAGCAGACTCTGCTATAATGCATCCAGAAAAGAATATCATTGCTCTTAGAGCAGCAGGAGAATAACCTAATTCAACTGTGATCTAAATCTTCAATTTGGATGAGAAATAAAGAATTAAGAATGTTGAATTGAATGAGACTATAGTATTTTGGAGATGGGTAAATCCATAAAAATTAGCATATGTTACTCCAACAGCAGTTTATCATATCAATATTACAAACCCTGGTGAATAATAAGTTAAAGTTATGGATAGGTAATATATATAATAATAATAAAATAAGATCTGGAGCATTATCATCAGAGAATCCAGTATAAATCATAGGATATGGATTAGAAGGAAATGAAAAATGGTGTGCATTATATGGTATTTCAACACCAGATGGAGGTAGAACAATTAATGGTCACATTCAATTATTTTTGATTGAATAAGCAAAATAATAAATTTTAGAAGGACATTGTTGTTGTTTTGGAGATGCTTTGATTCATACAGATGACTATAAAAGCAGTTTATTCTGTTTTGTAGAGAGAAAGTCTGGTGAAACAACAAGCAGATTACATATCTCAGAAATTGGAGTACCACCTAATGGATTCTAAAAATACAAAAAATAAGTTGAAGTTTAAACTGATCCAAATTATCCAACAGATTTCCCAGTCTTAATGCATATCAATTAAAGATATGGATTAATTTATGTTATAAGCAAATTTTCATTTTTAACTGTCTATGAATTAAGCACAGCTAGTTTAATATTTAGAGAAGTATAATTTTATATTTATAATCCAATAGAGAATCTGTAATGAAAATGTTTTCGTAGGTGCCCCAAATGTTAATTAAGGATAATATCATATTATTGGTAAGGAAGGTATTGTCTATACTATTTCTGTAAATGATGACCAACTAGTGTCTTATTTAATTAATACTTGCAGACATATCCCAGATGTTATTTAATTGGGATTCCGTTTAGCTAGTAGATATAAGCTTCCTGGAGCAGATAATATGTTTGTTGATTAATTCAATAAGGCTATTTTAACTGGTGATGCTTTAAGTGCTGCTAAAATTGCTGCTAGTGCCCCTGGAACAGTTCTTAGAAATCCAGAAAGTATTGCTAAATTCAAATAAATGTAATAATAACCAGGATAACCTTAACCACTTATTATTTATTTCCAAACTTTGTTAGAAAAAGGAACATTAAATAAATTTGAAGCCATAGAATTATGTGGACCTATTTTATAATAAGGTAGAAAACAATTTGTTGAATAATGGATTGCATAAAATAAATTAGAACCATCAGATGAATTGGGAGATCTCTTAAAAAGATATGATGTTAATTTAGCTATTTAAATCTTCAAATTATCTAAATCATATTAAAAATTAGCATAATGTTATATGGAAACTGGATAAGTTGATTTAGCTATGCAATTACAATAATAATTTGGAGTATCAACAGATTATATGGCAATGTTAAGAAATATGATGATGTCATCTCCAGAATAAGCTTTAGCTATGGCTAAATCTTTATATCAAAGAGACCAAAGCATCAATGTTCATTAAATTGCAGAATTATTTGAATAATTCTAAAGATTACCAGAAATGACAGCCTTCTTAGTTGAGTGTATGAAAAACAATAGAGCAGAGGATGGACCACTCTAAACTAAAGTTTTATGCTTGAATCTTTAAGCTGCTGCTCAAGTTGCTGATGCCATATTATAAATGAATATCTGGACACAATTTGATAGAATTAGAGTTGCCTAATTATGTGAATAAAAAGGTCTATATCAAAGAGCACTTGAAAATTACTCAGATCCAAAGGATGTTAAAAGAGTTATTCTTAATACTCATGCTCTCCCTCCTGAATTCATTATCAATTTCCTATCAAGAGTTGATCCTGCATTGACATTATAATGCCTTTAAGATTTATTAAGACATAATAGATAGAACTTATAAGTGGTTGTTAATGTTGCAGTGTAAAACAATTAAAGATTAACAATTCCAGCATGCATTAAGGTATTTGAATCAGTTAGTGCATTTGAAGGAGTCTACTTATTTTTAGGATCTTTGATTAATACAACATCTGATAAGGATATCTATTATAAATATATTGAAGCTGCTGCTAAATGCAATTAAATTAAAGAATTAGAGAGAGTTATTACAGAAAAAGGAGATTGTTATGATGCAGATAAAGTTAAAAATTATTTGAAGGAATAAAAATTATCTGATCCAAGACCATTGATTTTCTTATGTGATATGAATGGATTTGTTGATGAATTGACTAGATATCTACATAAAAATGGATTTACTAGATATATTGAAATCTACATATTCAAAGTAAATCCAAATGCTGCTCCTGCAGTTTTTGGTACATTAATTGATTTGGAATGTGATGAAGTTTATTTGAAATAATTGTTGTATAATATTCGTGGAATGTGTCCAATTGAACCAACTGTTGAGGAATTTGAAAAAAGAAATAAACTTAGAGTCTTAGAATAATGGCTTGAAGCTAGAGTTACTGAAGGCAATCAAATTCCAGCCATTCACAATGCATTAGCTAAAATAAAGATTGATACATCATAAGATCCTGATGGATTCTTGATTAATAATCAATTTTATGATGCAAAGGCTGTTGGTAAATTCTGTGAAGAAAGAGATCCATAATTAGCAGTTCTAGCTTATAAAAGAGCATGGGGACAATGTGATTAAGAATTGATTAATTTAACAAATAAAAATGAAATGTACAGAGTTTAAGCCAAATATCTAGTAGAAAGATAAGATGTTGATTTATGGGCTGGAGTATTATAAGAAACAAATCCACATAGAAAAAATTTGATTGACTATGTAATTTAAGCATTACAAGACTCAAAAAATGTTGATGAAGTTTAAGCAGCTGTCAAAGCATTTGTATTGGCAAAAATTCCTTATGAATTATTAGGTTTATTAGAGAAATTAGTATTACATAATCCAGAATTCATGTAATATAAATAATTATAAAATTTGTTAATTATTACAGCTATTTAAAGTGATACAAGCAAAGTATTGGATTACATTAATAGATTGGATAAATTTGATCCATAAATTATAGCATAACATTGTTTGAATGAAGAATATAAATTGTATGAAGAAGCTTATGCTGTCTTTAAGAAATTTAATTTACATATTGAAGCTGTTAATGTATTACTCAGAAATTTGGGTAGCATTCCAAGAGCTCATGAATATGCTTAATTTGCAAGTTCACCTGAAGTTTGGTCATTATTAGCTGAGGCTTACTTTAATTAAGGATAAACCAATGAATCCATTGATTGTTATATTAAGGCTAATGATTCAAGTGCATTCTTAAACATAATTAATGTGGCTGAATAAGAAGAGAAATATGAATTATTAGTCAAATATTTATTAATGTGTAGATAAACAGTCAAGGATGTTAACATTGATAATTCATTAATCTATTGTTATGCTAAATTAGATAAGAATTTAGATATTGAATCTTTAATTTAATCAAGCAATTCAGCTGATTTAATTAAAGTAGGAGAGAGATGTTATGATTAATAATTATATGAAGCAGCTAAGATCTTATTTACAGCACTTAAAAATAATGCAAGAATAGCATCTTGTTTGGTTAGATTAAAATAATTTAATAAAGCAATTGAAGCAGCTTAAAAGGCTAATACATCAAAGACATGGAAAGAATTATGTTTTGCTTGTGTTGAAGCATCTGAATTTAAATATGCTTCAATTTCTGCTTAGAACATTATCATAGTACCAGATATGTTGGAATCTTTGATTAAATAATATGAAGAATATAATGCATAAGAAGAAATGATAATATTATTGGAAAATGCTTTAGGTATGTAAAGAGCACATGTTGGTATCTTTACAGAATTAGCAGTTCTTTATTGTCATTATAAATAAAAGAAAGTTATGGAACATTGTAGATAATATTTCTAAAAGATGAACATATTGAAAGTTCTAAGAACTTGTGAAAAGATGTGTCTTTGGAGTGAAGCTGTTTATTTACATTAACATTATGATTAACCAGATAATGCTATCAATATTATGATTGAACATTCGCCAACTGCATTCTCTCATGATGTTCTAGTTATGTTACTCTAAAAGATTACTAATACAGATTTGTATTACAAATGTATTCTCTTTTATCTTGAAGAATAACCAGAATAAATTAATGATTTATTAAGAAGTATTCAATCTAAGATTGATTTAAGCAAATTTGTTAAATTAATGAAAAATACTGGTTATTTAGCTTTGACATTACCATTTTTATAACAAATTCAAAATTCAAATAATAAAGATGTTAATGATGCCTTAAATCAACTCTATTTAGATATTGAAGATTATGAAAATCTTAGAGAATCTGTTAAAAATTATGAAAACTTTGACTAATTGGCTTTAGCCTAAAAGACTTAATCTCATGAATTAGTTGAATTTAGAAGAATAGCTGCTTATTTATATAGAAAGATCTAAAAATTTGATTTATCTATGAACTTGAGTAAATAAGACTAAATGTACAGAGATGCAATCGAAACAGCTTAAGAATCTTAGAATGTTAAGTTAGTCTATGAATTATTGGAATTCTTCATATAAAATAAGGAGAGTGAATTCTTTACTGTGTGTCTTTACACATGCTATGATTTATTGAAACCAGATTAAGTTATGGAATTAACTTGGAGATCAGGCCTTATGGAATTTGCTATGCCATACTTCATTTAAATTACTTGGGAATTGACTCATAAGATAGAATATGTATAAAAGAAACATGAGGACAGAGAAAAGAAGGTATAATTTATATTAATTAAAATAGGAAATTCAAACAGCCTAATAATAATAATCATAAGCTTTACCAATAGCTTAAGATTTCTTATTGAACTAAGGTCAATTAATGTTGGGTCCACCAAGTTAGATGAGTAGTAGCAATTTAGGTTTTGGATAGCCTTCAGGTTATGGATAGCCTCCAGGATTTACAAATTCTTCAATGAATTAAGCTCCTATGGGTTATGGAGGATAACAATTTGGATCATATTAGCCACCTGGTTTTTGACCAAATTAAATATATTAAAATAAAACATATATATAATTTTATTTCTTATGATTATAGATTTTCTGGGGGGCACAAATTCATTTGATGTAAAAAATGATTTAGTTGCTTTTGAATAAGGAAACAGTTTATTATTGCTTGATACTACAAATAACTCTAAAGTTTAAATGCATGGTCATGTAAATTAGATTATGGCAATCTGTTTTTGTGGATAGAATCTTATTGCATCTGTAAGTATGGGATTTAAGAATCATCTATAAATATCAGAATTTGACACTTTTAATCGAACCTTTGATGACTATTTACCTGATACAGATAAGAAAACAGTCAATATATTTATGGAGAACATTAATAATTAATTGATTCTAATTGAAGTTAATACAGGTCATCGCATACTTGTTTATGATATTCAATAATATAAACTACTTTTTATTACTGATTTAGATAATCTGAATCCTTGTTATGGATTCTCTTATCTACCTACAAAACCAAAAACTAAAATATGTTTGATGTGTAATGGATAAGTAACACTTTGGAACTTAACATCAAATAATGTTCAAGTTACAAATAGAATAACATTAAAGAATATAAAACATATGGACACTAACAAATCATTAAATTTAATTATTCTAATATTGGTTACAGGAGATTTATACATTTTGAATTCAGATGGAGATCTAATTTCTTAATTAAAAGTTCCAGATTAAGAATTTACTGCATCTACAAGTTATGAATAATATTTATATTTATCTACAAGAAATGGTAAAATATTTATATATGAAATATCAACCCTTAAATTTGTAACAGAAATTCATGCTAATGATACTTGTTATTGTGTATAATTAAAACACTCTAATCAACTATTAGTTTTCTCTTTAAATGATTCTAATCTAATTACAATGGATATCAATAAAAGAATAATATTAGATTAGTAAAATGGTCATGGAGGAAGAATCAATTAAGTTTCTTGGGATCCTATACAAAGTAATCAATTTTATTCCTGTTCAAATGATGGCTCTTTTGGAGTTTCTAACTCTCGTGGAGATAAATTCTCAATGAATAAATATTATATTGGATAATTTCAGACTAAAATTAAATGTTGTGCAATTGACAATTATAGAGATGATATCTATTTAGGAGATAATAAAGGATAATTATTTGTCTTTTCTTTAATGAATGTTTAATTTAGAAGACAAATTGCTTTAACTCAAAATCTAGGAATAAAGGAAATGTAATTTAGTCCAGCCTATCAGTATTTGGGAGTAGCCTTTAAAAATGGATTTACAATTATTTTAGATTGTGAAAATTAACTAAAACCTGTATTGAAATTGGAAGATAAACTTGAAAATATATCATATGTTGGAATCAAATTATTTCAATTAGAATTTGACATTGTTAAAGTTAATACTCAAGCATATTCAACATCTTATATTCCAAGAAATGATAAATCATTTAATTCATTGACTATTTATAATCATAATTCTGTAAGGAGACATCAAATTGATAAAGCTAATTCTTAATTATCAGCTTTAGCTTTAAGTATTTATACAATTGAAGGCACAATATTTGGATTTGATTTACATCCTTCAAAAGATTACATTTTAATACTATCAAATTATGGATTTGTTTATATATATAAAATATAAAGTTCAGAGAAAAGAGCTAAAATATCAGTTCCTCCTTTTTCAAGACATTTAAAAATTGATAAATCTGGATTATATTTTGCTATTGCTCATTTACCATTAGTTAATACATCAGAAAAATAATTTATAGAGATACCTTCAATTGAATTTTTAACAAAAAATGCTAAAATAAATAAAAAAATGTTGCCAACTAATATAAGAATATATGAATGTGGAACAGGTTAAGTGGCTGAATAAATTAATCGAATTTTTAGTATAGTTTCATTAGACTTTTCTAATGATGGATAATATTTGTTAGTTGGAGGTAAAAAGGGTAAGATTTCTTTGTGGGGATTAAGTTAAGATTTAGTTTAAAGTGCAGAAGATGTCATTAAAGATATGAAAATCAATCCATTTTTTTGGAGAGACTTTTAAATCTATATTGATGATGAGGAGATTTTAGAATAAGACATTTTAGATTTAGAGTTATTAGCTAAGAAATTACCAAATAAGCCAATTGTATAAAGTTAAAAATATCAATAAATTGTTAATCCACATACAATGTATATTAATTTATTAATATTAGATTGTAAACTCCAGGAAGTGCAAGTTCAAGATATGAATTATATTGATGATAATTTAAAACTCATTTTTATTTAATATAATTATAAAAAAAATGATTAAATTGGGAAACCTGCTTGCATAAGAGTAAGCTAAACTAAAATCAGAACTTAAAGCTGTTTAGAAATAAAGAACAACTAGAAATACAACATCATCCACATTGTAATAAGCACACTAACAATAAGTTATCCCAACATTTCCAAAACGTCCACTTTGTTATACAAGTCATAAGTTAGTCCATCTATTAACACAGACTTCATTAGTTAGAATTGTTCTCCCATTAATTCCCCAAAAATGTTTACTCATCCTTCTGATCCAGATCCTTCATTTAGTTTTAACAAAAATATTCATTAATCATATAGGAATAAACTTGAAACTGTTTAATTGCCTCCTAACAAACCTCCTTTAAGAAGAGGCAATAAAATCACTAATTTAAGAAACTTAAACAATAATAGTATTGCTTAGTCAAATCCACTAAAAGGTGATGAATCAAAAGAAAAATTATTATAGTAGACTCACTTTTTATGTGCAATTATGTAATAATCTCATAGTGCCACTGGTAAAATAGTAGCTAACTTTTTAAATGGTTAATTAGAAAAAAATAGTTATGAATCAATAATATAAATGGAAAAATCTGCATAAGCACTTTAATAATCTGCCAAAGAAATGTCAAAGGCATTATTTATTTCTGATGATGAAGGGGAATTTGAAAATCTTTAAAATAAGTTCATAGATTAGATTAGGTTTTCTAAATATAGGAAACCAAATTAAGAAAAAAATATTGTTTTTAAAAGAAATTATGGTTAAAAACATGAGATGATGATAGATTAAGTAGCTTCTTAAAGATAAAAGACAGATGAGAATCAAGATTTTGATGTTTTTATTCCAAAATCTTAAATGGATTAATTCTTCTAGTAATAATACTTAAATAACTTAGAATAATTTAGGATAACATCGATGGAAGAATGAAGGAATAGACTGAATAATTAATAAAGGATGAATAAAAATTAATAAATGGAATGATTGCAAATGTTAAAAAATTTAGAGAAGACATTAGAGAAGTTAAATATACAATGAATCACGTTAGAAAAAATAAAAAAGCTTTGTTACCATCATAATAATAAGTATCTGCATATCGAACACTTAAGACTTTAAGAACACTAAAGTCTTAATCATCAGCAAGGATATAGAGCCCAAAAACTTAAAGATTAGATGAAGAAGCAAAGGCAGATCTAAGATTAAGAGTAATGAAAGCACTTAGAAATTTTATGGATAAATTAAAGAGATTTAATATAACTCTAAATGATGTTGTTAATAATTAAGTATTCCCATCTTAAGCATATGAAAGACCAAATAGTGTTGAATTTTTTAGGTAAGTAAAAGCAGACAACTTAAGAGAAATCGAAAGTATGTTAAGAGATTGCCGTTATCATGTTTATGATCGTGATAACTAGTAAAAAACACCTCTACATCATGCTGTTAGTAATAATTCAATAGAAGCTATTAAATTGTTAGTTGAAAATGGTGCTGATTTAGATGCTAGAGATATGAGTATAAATCATAATAATCTTATTATTAGTGGGTAGAACTCCTTTACATATAGCTGCCAAAAATAATAATTGTGATACTGTTAGAGTATTATTAGTTTATTAAGCAAATCCATCAATTAAAACGGTTGCAGGAAAAACTGCTTAAGATCTGACAGAAATGCCAGTAATTAAAGCTTTAGTTAAAAATGCTAAAAAAGTAATATTCCATTTATTTTAAGCTTCATTTTATGATGAATTTGTAACCATCAAAGAAAAAAAAGGATTTTTGGGTTGAAAAGGCAATAGTTTACTTTTAAGAAGATGATCCAGAAAAGATACTTAAATTGCAGCTTTATAAGAATTAAGCAAAATTATTTTTATCATGATTATATATATATGTTTCTAATTTACTTTTTAATTATAAAATTATGGAAGAAATTAATACTCAGAAAATAGAAGATTCTCCAGCTCCCTCTAGATGTTATCTTTGGAATTATGATAAGTGCACAATAGGAGTTCCTCTTGATAATTAAAGATAACCAGAGGAAGATTTTGAATTGTAAATCATCTTTGCTAAAATGAATTTAACAATTGATGAAACTCCATTTCACGAAACTAAATGTTAAAAATAAAAATAAGACTTATCTTACAAAGCAGAATTCAATATGAAACACTTTGCATAATATTATTTGTATCAGTTGGTATTTTAAATTTGCTAATTAGTTATTTTATATCTTTGGTCCCTTTACATGTATATTTTTTTTTAATAAACCTATGTTAATGTATAATTTAGGTTTTTGGTCTTGCAGATAAGATGTTATATTTCATTACTTTTAATGGGGAGGACATATTTTTTCACTTATTATGTATTTTTATTTTGGACTAATATCATCTTTAGAAATGGGACTACTTTGGTTTTCATTGCTAACTCGATCTATTATCATAGCAGCAAAATTCTCTACATTTAATGAAGATAGAGTAGAACTATATGAATAATCTCGTTTATCAGAAAAAACTATTAAATTTGATACAGTCTTATTTGATTGGGCAGCTCAATCAAAAAAACTAAAATATTTAGAAATTGCAAGATCAGCTAAACGACATGATTTTGATACACAATTTTTCTACTTCGACTTTATAGTTGAGCCAATGTAAGAAACTTAAAAAGCACTTACTCAAGAACAGAATATTGAAATTGATGAAGTGAAAAATGGAAAATATAATGGAATCAATTTAATTTCTTATTTTATTGAAT